CCAGTGGTAGTTCGTTAGTTGTGAAAACAGATTTAGGTGAGTGTTCTGGATGCTTTCTGTTCATCTTCCTGAAGAAGCTGTGGAGGCTGCCCACGTTTCACTGTGTTAAGTAGGTCAGTGTCATCTTGTGGCTGCCTTCTGCTGCTCACAGAAAGGGGAGCTTCTTGTTGCTTCTTGTCTTCTAAATGAGTCTCTTAGAAGCCATAGATAGGTCGACCCAAGAACATTTCTCATTCCGTAAGTGGGATTGTGAACAAAATTTCAGAGGGCTCCTGGTCCTCTGAAGTCCATCTATGCAACCCAGGTTGAGACTTGATGTGAGATGCATAGATGTGGACTTGCTAGTTCTGTTGGTAGGCTAATGAAAAGTTCTAGCTCTTAGTGTTGAGTGTTTGCTAGAAGATGAGTTCATTCTGTTCTGGCTCTTCTAATAGTATGTCATAATATCGTTAATTTGTGCTAAAGAGTTTTTTTTTCTTGAATGCTAGGATCTCTAAGAGGAGCTATCATTTTTCAGAACTGGTAGTGCCTCTACAAATTATGATTTAGAAAAGTTATAATTAGAGGCTAAATGTTCTTTTATCATTAAACTTTTTGGTCTGATCTTGCTGTGAAATAGATTTTAGGTGAGAGAATCCCTTATGTATTGGGAAATTATTCACTTTAAGAAAGGAAAGTTCTTTGCTATGTACATAGTTAGCAGTATAGACCCTTTACACTAGTGTCAGCAAACACCCACAGCCATTTTCATTTAATGTGGAACATCCCTGGGATATAGTCTTACAGTGTTCAGTGCTGTGGGATGGTCTGTATGTCAAATGTGTTGCTCTGATTGACCAATAAATAAAACACTGATTGGCCAGTGGCCAGGCAGGAAGTATAGGTGGGACTAACAGGAGAATGGAGAGAACAGGAAGGCAGAGGGAGACACTGCCAGCCACCGCCATGACAAGCAGCATGTGAAGATGCCAGTAATCCATGAACCACATGGCAAGGTATAGATTTATAGAAATGGATTAATTTAAGATGTAAGAACTAGATAGCTAGAAGCCTGAGCCATTAGGCCAAACAGTTTAAATAATATAAGTGTCTGTGTGTTTATTTTATAAGTGGGCTGTTGGACTGCCGGGGCTTGGTGGGACCCGGAGAGAAAACTCTACAGTTACAGTTCAGCTTGAATTTCTGTGATTTGGCATAGTCAGTTGCATACAGAAAAATCAATACTATACTTGTGAAGTTAGATGAAATAATTTGGCAAGCCTAGATTAAGTCCAATATATTACTAAGATAATAGAGATTTTAATTATACACTTAAATAAGATGCTGTCATTACTATGTAATTGAACTTACCTCTTTCTATCCTTCCCCCTACAACAGAGCCAACTTCATAGTTTGTCATTGCTAGGGGATTTTAATTAGGATACACTACTGCATCCTAATTAGGGAGGAGGCCACCATTAGTCTTGAAATTAATTGGATTCTCTCTAGGTTTGTTTTGTGTTTGCCTTTTTTTTTTTTTTGATAGAAAATTACTTTTAGTTACTCCAAGAATAATGTGCATTCTTAGAGTTATCCAGAGGAGCAGGCTTCCTCAAGATCTCTGTAAATGTTAACACTGAATGCCTAATTTAAGCTTCACGTAGTTACAGGGCTGCAGAGAGAGCTGGTAAGCACACTTGCCACTTGTCACCAAGCTTGATGACCTGACTTTGATCTTCATGGAAGGAGTTGTCCACTGACTGCCAGGAGCACACTCTGTATTCCATACACTCAGTAAATGGAAAAAAAAAACCTCCCAAATCCCAATAGCAAGTATATGAATTAAAGCTTTAGAAATCTGAGGCACTCTGAAAATGGGCTGATAGCAGCTGTTTCCATTTACCTGCAGAGGTGAAAGTGGGAGACATTCACTACCACTTGTGCGTAGCTTACTGTGTATGTGTGACGGGACATTTTGCTAGAAACCTTCAGTCAGGCGTGTGGCCACATAATGTTAGGAACCATGCACACAGGTTTTCTGTGAAGTCAGTTGGGAATTTGTATCATTAAAAGAAAGTTTGTCCTCATGAAGACATTCTACCTACTTTGATATCTTGTACAGTCATCTAACCTCTCCAAACCCAGCTTTCTCAATAAAATGAGACATTGGGTTAGATTTTTAGGGTTCCTTGTAAGATTTAATTTTTATATGACTCATAATGAGAAAGTATTTTATGAGAAAGGTAATTCAAATTTGTAAATAAGAGTCTAGGTAATTCTTTTTTGTTTGTTTGTTTGTTTTTACTCTTTTTTTTCTTTCATTTTTCTTTATTATGAAATTTTCTACTCACTCCACATATTATCCACAGATCCCCCCTCCTCCCACACCCCAAGCCCTCTTTCCCAAGCCACCCCGCATCCCCACATCCCCCAAATCCCCCAAATCGAGGTCTCCTATGGGGAGTCAGCAGAGCCCAGCACACTGAGCCTAGGCAGGTCCAAGCTCCTTCCCAC